CCTCTCTACTATAAATAGAAATTAATTGCCAACTAATATATATAGAAAAAATTAGCCGGCATGGTGGTGCATGCCTGTAGTCCCAGCTACTCAGGAGGCTGAGGCAGGAGGATTGCTTGAGGCCAGGAGTTTGAGGTGCTGTGAGCTAGGCTGACGCTACGGCACTCACTCTAGCCTGGGCAACAAAGGAAGACTGTCTCAAAGAAAAAGACTTAACAAAATGGCCTTCATGGAGGCTTGTGAAATAAATAATAAAAATATATACTTGCATAGCTCTTTTGGTGTAAAATACTTTTGCTTAATTTATGGAAGTGAAGCTTGAGCTGGCTGGCTTGCTGATGTTAAGTTTTGGTGCTCCACAGCTGTACAGTTGTGAGTTCCAGTATATATATATTTTTAATCTCCTGGTTCTTTTCTGCAGTAGTCTTTTCTGTTATTGGTTAGGAGGTGCCAGGGGGTGTGGTGAACCCTTGGTTCTTGTAATTATGCATTGCTGTGACTTTCAGGGTCATCTTGACCAAAAAATAGTTTTGTAGCAATAAAGAACTATATTGTGCTTTGCTTATTTCTTTTCCCCCCTTAGATCTGTTCTAAGGACCAAGATTCATTTGGGATGGTTACAGAATTGAACCATTGTAGTCAATGAAAGTATCATTCAAAGTTGAATGAAAGATCCATCCTTGAAAGGGAGTAGACCCTTACTATTTTGTTTACCAGCTTCTCTGTTGTACAGTGAAGAATTTGATGTCAGTCAGTTTACTCCTTAGGTTTCATAGGTCAAGAGATTTTTGTTTTGTCATTCTGGGATTATAGGGGACTTTGGGAAATGCTGGATTAGGTGATTTCTTAAAGGGTGTGCCATTAAACATTAATAATCCGGAGAAGATTTTCTTGTAAAAAGGAGTTCTGAGGCCAGATCTCTGCAAACTGTATCCTCTCTTGGAGTTTCATAGTACACTCTGACCTTGTTCACTGAAGCATTGTTATAGTTGAGTTATAAACAATATTTCATAGATATGATCAGAATACTATGCAGCAGTTAAAAAGGATTTGAACTATGGATGGATGGATTAGTTCTCAATATTAGTTTAGAACAACATTATATAATGAGAATATTGCATATGGTGATATATAGTTTGTGTTTTAAATATATCTGTATAATATAAATGCTTTTAATAAAGTCTAAAAGGATTCATACCAAGCAAATAGTGATAGTTACTTGGAGAAGTATCTGGGATTGGGGATGATCAAAGCAAAGGGTCCTTTTTGCCCTTACCTGTAAGGTTTGCAATTTCTTAAAAGGCAATATATTCATGTATCACTTATAAAAAAATAAGGACAAATGTCTGTTAAGGGTTCAGAAAGTTACTGGGTTTTTTTTTGTGTGTGTGTGTTTTTTAAGACAGAGTCTTACTCTGTTGCCCAGGCTGGAGTGCAGGTGCATCATCACAGGTCATTGCAACTTTAAACTCCTGAGCTCAAGCAATCCTGCCTCAGCCTCTTGAGTAGCTGGACTACAGGTGCATGCCACCAGCCTGGCTAATTTTTCTGTTTTTAGTAGAGATGGGGTCTTGCTCTTTGCTCAGGCTGGTCTTAAACTCCTGAGCTCAAGTGATCCTCCCACCTTGGCCTCCCAGAGTGCTGTGATTATAGGCGTGACCCACCTCACCTGGCTTATAAAGTTACTTTCTTTTCCCTTACTGGAGATACCTACCCTGCTAAGCTTCAAGTACATCTGTTATTAATTTACTATATACAAATTAAACTGAGTTTTGAGCCCTATTATTACAACTAAGAAGGGAATGTTTTGCTATATTCCATTATTACAAAACTATTTTTTCCTACATTATAAGGATTAAATGAAGTGATTTAGACAGTCTAGTCCAGTGGTCCCCAAAGTTTTTGGCACTAGGCACTGGTTTTGTGGAAGACAGTTTTTCTAGAGATGGGAGTAGGCAGGGATGGTTTCAGGATGATTCAAGTGTACTACATTTATTATGCACTTTACTTTTTTTTTTTTTTTTTTTGAGACAGAGTCTCACTTTATTGCCCAGGCTAGAGTGAGTGCCATGGCGTCAGCCTAGCTGACAGCAACCTCAGACTCCTGGGCTCAAGCGATCCTGCTGCCTCAGCCTCCCGAGTAGCTGGGACTACAGGCATGTGCCATCATGCCCGGTAATTTTCTATATGTATTAGTTGGCCAATTAATTTCTTTCTATTTATAGTAGAGACGGGGTCTTGCTCTTGCTTAGGCTGGTTTCGAACTCCTGACCTCGAGCAATCCACCGCTCGGCCTCCCAGAGTGCTAGATTACAGGCGTGAGCCACCGCGCCTGGCCCTGCACTTTACTTTTGTTATTATTATATTGTCACTTGCTACTCACTGATAGGTATTTTTGTTTTTGTTTTGTTTTTGAGACAGAGTCTTGCTCTGTTGCCTGACTAGAGTGACATGGTATCAGCCTACTCACAGCAATCTCAAACTCCTGGGGTCAAGCCATCCTCCTGCCTCAGCCTCTGGAGTAATTGGGACTACAGGTGCATGCCACAGCCTGGCTATTTTTTTTTTTTTTATTAATTAGTAGAAACAGAGTCTTGCTCTTGCTCAGGCTGGTCTCGAACTCCTGAGCTAAGCGATCCTTCCACTCGCCTCCCTGAGTGCTAGCATTATAGGTGTGAGCCACTGCAGCCAGCCCTTAGTTCTTGAGCAGCTAGAAAGCAATAGCTATGGTTCGATTGGAACATTATGATTCAAAACAGGTAAGCCTAAAGAACCAGACTCCCTTTGATTGTTAATGCTCTTTGGGATGTTAATGCTCTTCTGTACTTCTGTGACTTCTTCATCTTGTTCTCTAGATTATTTTGACATCTTCTGAGTCAAACTTGAAGTATTGGTGGCTCTGCCAATCACTGGAGATCAATTTCATGTATCGCATTTTTTGTAATGTAAATATGGTTTTTCTTTAAGAAAGAGTAATCCTGAAAAAAGCTGTAGCCACATAGCAGGTTTTGTGCCAGTACATTTCACTTTATTGCTTTCAGTTTGCTTTATGTTGTAAGACCCATTATATGAAATAAAGATTTCTCAGCTTGAAGGTATCTCTTTTTTAAAATGATTTATTTTCAGACATGCATTTATCCCTCTTTTCAAAGTGGTCGTTTTTATATTTCATCTAAGTGAAAACAGAGTAAACTGATCAATCAACCTTGTGCTTCAAAATATTTTTAATACAGGCTATGAAGGATTCAAAATTTTAAATCACATCTACACATATTTTTATGCTATTATAGATTTGTTGGTACCTACTACATGACTTGGTATGTCTGAAATTTGGAGTATTAAAATGTGTTTCTACCGTTGGTCGACTTCCTGCTTCCTAAAATATTGTTAAAAGCAAGCAATCATATGCATACAAATTACTGTCATTTAAGATGATTCTTCGCAGAATGCCAATGAAATTGAGTATAGTATAAACTGAAAATGCTAATAAGTTAGGAGCGAATATTCAGGAATGTTTGTGAGCAGGACAGCTGGTGAGGATGGACGAGTTTGCAGGCTGTTGATTACCCAGTAGAAAAGGTGTGTGGGTACTCCCTTCTGCCTGGTCAGTGAGTGTCTTGCACGTGTCAGTTACTTGGTATGTGTTGTTCATGGAATGGGGATTGTGCGTTTCTTGCAGGAGAGATGACATGGATATTAAGCCTTATAGCAGTATTATTTTGAGGTGGAGTTTAGGGGTTGAGCAAGGTACTAGGTAAAAGAAAGAAAAGGGA